TGTCCCCCCCTCTCTAGATTTATGCTTATAGTTGAAATGGAATGCACCCGGTTTAATTGTTCGGCCCTTTCCAGTTTTAAGATCGACATACGGTCAGCATGGCTGGACAATTTGTTTTCACTATCATTTCAAATCCCTCGTGCCTGTTGCTTTTATACGGCGTACGTCTCAAAGCGCAAGGCATGTAAATTTCCCTGTGTCCCCACAAAACAAGTTAATTAGGGACACGGGAACCTCGTTACTGTCTTACTAATTAATTCTCAGCGGGTTTTACGAGGGACAAAACAACATGTAGATTCCTTGGGACTACAACCTGCCGGTCTGCACCAGAGGATTTTCAGCCCTATCTGACCAAGGCATGAAGAGTCTAGACGGTTTTAATGACGGGTGGGACTGCAGGAACAATTGTCTACAGCGACTTATTTTGAAGCTACCCGCGTAATTGAAATAATTGTCAACTTGGAGTACAATAAACGATGTAATACTTGAGATTGGTTTGTATGGAGTTTGGCGTCCGAAAACTGTCGAGATCGGATCTATAATGAGATTTCAACATGCGCGTAAATCCCAGGGGCGATGGGGTATATATCCCCTTCACTTTTTTGAAGAGGGGGTGGACTTCCAAATCATGCATCACTTTTCCGAGGTGAGACAAAAGTAAGGCGGATTGTGGAGATTTTTTTCGGACTTCCTAACACCCTGAATGTATTCAATAGCACTCAAAAAGCGAGACAAATTTTTAAAAGCCACAAATACGCCTTTTTGATGAAAGGTTCTGCGGGAGTATACATCTATAATTTGAACATCGCCCCTACGATGTCAGCACACTTTTCAAATTTTCGTGGCCGGGCAAATCATCCCCATGCATCCTCCCAGTTCCCGGCACAAGTTTGGGTTTTGAAAAATTAGGAATCCAGGCAATCCGGCATAACTTGTTTAAGCAGTGAAAAGGTCACATGTGACAGGAATTTAGGCTCAGACATCTCCCGTCCTTCGTGCCACGTGTGGTCCTTTGACCGAGAACACAAGACACGGCCAACCACAGTATTTGCATTCTCAATTTTATACTCATGGCAAGCTACACTTTTCTCAACTGTCCTGATTGGCAAAACTGCGTTATTTGGCGTGCCAAAAGAAACACCCGTTGTATACAAATGAAGCTATCCAGCAAGAAATGAGACCGAGGGATACCCCCACATGTCCAATCGCCGCACACGCTCTAGACTATTGTCACCTAGCACCCCCCCCAGATGTTTGAAAAGAATTCCTCAGATTCCAGTGAAATAATGACCAACACGAATTAAGCGGTTTACAAAGATTTCTTTGAACAATAGCTTGTTGGTAGTGCTCCTGTTATTCATGCGACGCTTCCTGACAGTCCGGAGTTTGTCTGCATGCATACATCAGAGCAGAAGGTAAAGCAACATGTGATGGCATATACGTCGAAACCTAAGAGTTTGCTGAGGCCGGTCGCTTAAAGAAAGCCAACCTCATCGCAGGCAAGGCCTGCCGCATTTCCCTTCCGCTAGTCATCGGCTCGTGCCAACTGGCGAAACAGTTGTTTCAGAGTCTTGTGTGTGGCGGCCTTACGAAACTGGTTTGTTGGCTGAGACATTGAGCATTGTCACGTGAAAAAAAGCCGCTTAATTTTTGAGGGAGTGGGGTTATTTTACTGGAGTCCTTAATGAACTTAATGAATAAGTAGACTCCAAATGGCCTGTTTTAAGACTTGTCAATTAGCAAAATCATAACATGCATTAATTATGGAAACATCTGAATGGTGTGTAATAGTTCATTAATATTCATTAGGTCATTAATATTCTGCTCCGACCACGTTCATAGGGCCTATTTACCTGCTTCAAAAGCCTGCTGGGCTTCAACCGTCGACCTTTAAGTTGCCGGTTTCGAATCGCCAGCCCAAAATACGCAATGGGCCATTTGTGTATTTTCCAGTAGCATAGCCAAGTGTGTGTGTGTATGTGGGAGGGGGGGGTAGGAGAATGTTGTGGGCTGGAGAGGTTAAGAGTAAATCAGGAGGCTGATAGTAGAAGGAAATTCGGGGTCAAGAGATTACAACATGCAGCATCAGGACGATGAAAATAAATCATGAATTCAAAACCAAAATGATGAAAATTTCAAAATGCTTCCTACAGTGCCACGAGAACACTCCCAAATCAAATACCGCAGTCTTTCCATATAGTCTAATTTTGTAATTTAACTAAATCGTGACAAAAGTTTTAGTTTGCAATTGCATAGGAAACAAAACACTGGAAGCGCACCTACTAGAGGCAGAAGCTGTAACCAGAATAATACCCACATAGCTGGGGCAGAAAGTCTCTGTTAGGTTGCAAGTGCAGCCTCGTTCTCGTTCCACAATTTTGTGCAGGCATTGGAGGCAAGGTGAATCCCAGCAAATTACATGTACATGTATTATGATTATGACATGTTGAGTCAGTGTATCACTCGTGAAAAACGTTATGAGCTCATCAACGTCGGAATGCTTATGTAGTTGTTGCCAGCACTCGAGTAGAGCAATTTTCTCAGTGGCTACCTATCAGAAATATTGTCCATAATATGAATCGCTGTCTCTTTTTGTGTTTTTAGGCAGAAAAACAAATCTAGTTATACAACTATGGTACTTCGTACTTATGTGTCAGTGTTTCTTCACAAATTAATGAATGATTTTTACAGTCAACACACATGTAGTAAGATTTAAATATCGAAAAGACCCGAGACTCATGGTGGAGAAAAAATAATGATAAACGAACTTTTAATCCCGTGCATGCGGGCGGTACGGCGCAACTAATACCTCCTCTTATCTCATCAAAAAAGTAATCGTTTACAAGTAATAATTCAGCGATGTAGATTAATACAGCAAATTTCTCCAGCCGGTTGGACGTGTCTTCCTTTCTCTTGGTTTCTCTCCTCCGCCCCTTGGGGCCCGCGGTCCGCGAGACCCCGCGCTCGTCGGGCAGACCAATTACTCTACCCGAAGTGACTCCGAGGTTATCTCCAGCCGATGTTCCCCGGCGCAACTCAGGGCAATGGCGTGCTTGCAGGTGTACTACGAAGTTGCTATGGCACATATATCAAAAAACGCCTCTATTTTAACGGACAAAGTAAATGAAATTCGTTCCCGGCGTGTCGTGGAGATTAGTTGTGTAGCCGCAATCCAGACCGACGGCTAACCAACGGTCAACATCGCATCCTCCTTCCCAGCCTTTGATTCACGGGCCTTCCTCACAGGCATTTCGTCGCTGGCATATTAATTTAAGATGACCACTATACCGACATTAGGTAACAATGATTTGAATGATTGGACGTCGTGAAGAGTGTGATGAAGGGGTATATCAAAACAATCCTTGTGTCGATTCTAATAATGAATAAGAGGGGGAAAGGGATATCATTAAGCCATGGATGGAGGCAAAACAGATGAGTGGGGTCATCGATAATAATGGAGCCAAGCAATGAAGGACTGCCGTGGCAGAATGGAAGACCAAATGACTCGTGGAGAAGGGCTTCCGTCGTATGTGACGCATGACCCGCCTGAATGAAAATTATAGAGTTAACAAACGCCCCTGTTTCATTATGTTATGTTATGTCATGTTATACTGAATCTATAGGTCAAGTGCCCCCTTGATAACAAAAGAGTTTGAGTTGGGGTGAGAGGCGGGTAACTTGTACGAACCTAATACATACCTAATGTGGACCCACTAACAAAAGAGGTCCATATTTACGTAATGCAGGTTGTGTGAACCTTCTGTGGACTAAACTTGGTCCACACAAGATTACCCTCTTTCTGGAAAACGGGTTTAGAGACATTTCAGGGGTGGGGAAATCATCAAAAATCTAGCTTGAATAAATGTTCATAGTTCACGAAATTCTCACCGAGTTTTCCTGACTATACCACGAAAACAAAGGAATGTCTAAAGTAGGTAACACCAACATGTGCGTACATTAAGTTTTCACAAGTCCATCTTCGGTCAATCCCGTCCCAAGTTCAAGTCACAACTTATTCGTATATACGAAGTTGACAAAGGCACTCCTTTTGATTATTCATTTCCTGTTACTTTTGACAAGAGTTGCGATTAAACCCGAAATTTTTCGAGTGATGAATTATTTTACTACATGTTTATTCTTCACGCATTAGTGACTGCAGGAGGCATATATGAAAGCATTTAAAGTTAACTAGCCCTCCCCGGCCCCAACCCCACATACAGACACACCGCTTGTGAAGATACTTTGCTGACATGAAGAGCACGGCAGAGGATCAACGCCGGGTATGATCCTCGAGCTAGATCAAAAGAGGGCGCAAATTTCTCAACAACGGAGGCTCCTTTGGTCGGAACTGAACTTCGTTGGTTTACGAACGACTATTAAATACGCGCTTTACAGTCGTATAGCTACCAACAAAATGAACACCAATATGGCTCGTTTCAACGGATGAGGGGTTGCTTCTGCTCGAGGCGGATTAATCATTTGGGTGAATATTACGTTTTAATATCAATAAGTCGTATAAATGTATACACATTGCACATTACCAAATCAGATCCTGCATATACATGTATAGTGCCCTCGACATCATTTATAGGCAACTTGTTTGTTTGAAAGTGGGATTTTCTGTATCGAGCAACCAAGCCCTGCCGTGCAACGGTGGGGGCTTGACTGTTGACGGGCTGGTAAGCTAAAGCCCAGGATCTTTTTGGCCAAAATGAAAAAAAAAATATTTTCAAGGCAAATGTCGTATTGACAAGACCCATCGAAAACTTTTTACGGGACCCAGGTTTGTGTTGTGCAGCAGATCAGCTGCAAAACGCGCCGTAAGTTTTGTAATCAGCACAGCTCTCGATTTGCATATGGTCATGACACGTGCGCATTTAATGTTGCGAATAATCAAACTGGCACGTCCAACAAACGGGGTGTCCCCCGAGCCACGTGCACGGTGCGTGGCCAACCCACCGCCTGCCGAGGGCCCGGCAGTGCTCTGCGCCGCTGTCATCGGCCTGACGTCCTACGGGTCGGCCTCGCAAGATTCCATGGCAATACCACCACAAAACTGTGACGTGTCATCGCACGTCTACCAGATGTCGGAAATCATCGGCTACTTGCCCGTGATGACATGCATGATTATACTTGTGCTACTAGCGTAATCATTAAGAGAACTAAATTGCAGCGAAATTTGCATGCTTCGAACTTCATCGTCTCATTGGCTGAGCGAGCTCTCGGCGGTGACCACACCCACCTGTTGAATTATTCACAATCTTTACCAACGTGAAAAGCAGCTTTTACATCTGAGATTGTTGTGGTAATTCTCGTGCTGTCATGATCAGAGCGACCGGTATTTAAAGTGTATTATTTTTACGGGGAGGCTCATTTCTGGTTGTACTCTTCCACATGTGAACTACCAAAGAGACTCGAGAGACGAAAGAGGGATTTCCAGTTACAAAAAGATCCTCGTTGCGATTCGCTTAATTCGGTAAGTCAGAATGACTGTTGACTGTTTCCATTTTAATTGGAATTAGGACGCACACGTGTGCTAACTGACTTGTACTGCATATTTAGTGATTAAGACCTTGAATAAAAGAGCGCGATTGTAAGTTATAGTTCAACCGTGAACCACCTGCCTGCAAGCCACGCACAAGTCGTATAATTCAGGGTTGTGTCTTATTGTGGATTTCCGAATGGAAAAATGACCATCAAATTTTAAACTGCCACCCCCCTCAAAAAATTATTTCCGGAAAGTACGTTTTATTGCGTTCTAATTTTAGAGGGGTTGCTTAGCCTTGTTGTGAAGCATGCACATATGCATATATGTGTATATGCGATCTAGTAATTTAAGAGACGTTAACAAATGAGTACAGCGGTACTCAACATTTTTAGAAAAAATAAAATCAACTCAAACTCAAAAATCGAACTTTGTTGATAAAACCTCGACTTAAAAATCCTCTTCTTGTTACTTTTTTGTCATAGGTTATACCCTCCCCTTCAGGTTGGTGGTTGTGATTTGTCCCGATGCAAAATGGTTTTATTAATTACGTTTATCCAATTTATTTAAGGCTAATAGAAAACACGTGCACTATTTGGCATAGACCGTTCACCAAGAAACGGATAATGCGCAACTGTTCGAAGTATCAGTGCAATCATTCTTGATTAGTCGGCCTAACTTATTTTGCCAAACTGTGGTGTTAACATAGGATGACACTGGACTGGTCTATCATACTTAGCTACCAAGAGTGTTACATGAACACTGGAGGTTTGCTGTGTAGTGCTATGAAGGAACCTTTCAATAAAATTGGGTTTACCCTCTTGGGCGTCGCTAGACCATTTTGAAGGCGGAGGTGCCACATGAAATTTGCCTACACATCGTCACGTAAAACGAGTGTACTGTATTCCCCTTCCTTTCATTTTCGTTCTCCATTCTCCGGTCTTTTATTTTGCTGACAGACCATGATTTTTCTGACAAAACTAACCAATGGGAGGGGGTGTGATATCCCTGACACTCCCTAGCAACGTCCATGTTTATTCTCCATGTGATGTGTAAAGTCCGGTACGTGAATGGAAATTTAAGAATCCAAACCTTTTTGGAGACCGTGGAAAACTTTTACCTGAATAACAAATCAGGTCACGTTCACCACGATAAAAAAATTCACGAAATATAAGCATGTCCCTGTCACGCTCTTCTAAATGTTCCTTTTGGAACCTGTTGAAGGGAACATTACCTCTAAAACGCACACTTTCGTCGACACACAGAACAGGAAGAAACCCGAGAATGATTGTGGATGTCACTTACATTTCAACTTAAAATGACATATTTCAAACCAAAGCCTTTCCTGAATATTTTTTTTTCGGCTGCATGGAAATCTATTCCCCGAAAAGGATCAAACTTAAATGGCGGAATTTAAAAAGTGCACGATAAATTCTTTACAGTTGAGAGGCAGGACGACTACATCAATTGTTTTAACCAGATTTCAATCGTGCAGAGCTTTCAATGGCATGTAAGTGTGTAACTCCAACATGTGATACCCAGGAGCTGCAATTGCACGGGGAATCACGTTTGCTGTAATAGGCAGGAAAGCTTCATACAATTTGTCAATTAATTTAGTCTCACAGCACTTGGCAGACAAGAGTCTAGCGTTGCCTCGGACAGACTGGGCGAACTTGATTTCTCTTCATTTCTGCCAAAAAAAAAAGAAATTACATGCAGGGGTAGTTATGCAGAAATGAAATGGTATAACATAATGTGGAACAACTTCAAAAGAATTGTAGTCCAACTAGTGCATTTTGATTTCACGCTAAGTCATTGCTTTCCGTGGGTCACTTGTATGATTGGAAATTCATTCCATGTTTGAAACTTACGCAATGGTTTTAAACTTTTGCATCATATTAAATTTGCATTGATGAGTGCATTGCAAACAGTTTACCGGTAATCATTACCGTTTGGTACCGGTACCCCAGCACAACTTGCTGAAAAGGGAAACAAGGACAACTTTTATTGACTTGGTGACTCGCTGAAGAAAGCTGGAAGTTTTCCCCTTGGATGTTTTTCTTGGCGATTTATCTTAGAATCGTGAATGTAAAGAGAAGAAAACAGGTATAACGTAAAAGCTATATGTTCAGCCCACCTTGCGGAAACCGCCTTCACCACTCAGGCGTGACAGTGTACATGTACATGTACTCCCCTCGAACAACTCATCAGCATTAATTACAAGCTCACGCGATGTGGGTCTTGCCGTAAGTTGTCTAGTGTCAGACAGCTCATACTTCGGCTGGCTCGAAATGCCAACTCTCAGGGACGCCCGTGGAACTCAATATACTTAAATTTGAATGTTTCAACAGCTCTGTTGATGATTGAGTTTCCTCAAGGATGATAAATAAATAGGGCCTTGGCCGGCCTGATTGGTCTTATTGACGTTTTATTTCAAACCCACTAGGCGCTTGTGTATGAATCTGCGAACTGTCATAAGAACCGTGTTGCATTTTATTGTCTTCTTGTTGAAGTGGTGTAAGATGTTTGGTGGGTGGATATTAAAAGCAACTCTTTTGAACTGTTTGGGGGAGGTGATATCAAGAACATTTTCATTTGGGGAGAGAGTGTGTGGGATTTAAAAGAACACTGAAAAGGGGAAGAAGGGAAAAGCTAAAAACTGGCCACCTAGGGATGGAAACAGAAATCTGTGGGAACATCGTCATAAATTATATCGGGAGTTAAACGCCGCGTCTGAGTAAAAGTGGAGAAGAGTGAATATGAATAACTGTTGTATATGATAACTTATCCACATGACTTTAATGCACTCTCGCTGTCTCTCTCTCTCTCTCTTTGTGTTGAGGGAGTCTTGTCTGAACATCGAACCCGACATCAAATTTGTCAGAACATTATAACAATTAGAGACAGCTTTGCCCGTCCCATAGACAAATTGTGGTTTGGTTTGCTAAGGAGAAAGATCAGGTAAAACCCTTGGTAACCTCTAGACCCCCCCTTTTTTGGCGGTGGGGAGGGTTTGGGACATTTTATTCAGGGGGGGTTACAGCATGTAATTATCGCTGTGTGGTGAAGCCACGACCTCTGTGTTTTGTCCATAACCGTACACGCAAAATAAGATCCCTTTTAAATCCTTTTAGGGGGTTTTCCAACCGTTACACATAGGTCCCTATAAATTACAATAAGCACAGGGTTTGACTTCCAACCATGGGCGTCGCCAGGAGTGTTTCCGAGGGGGGCCAATCATTTTTTGACCCGGAGTGGGAAAAAATAAAACAAACCAGACGAGTATTGATAATTTATGATAAACCCATTAAAGGATGGAGGGAGATAATTTTAAAGCAAATACGGGACTTTCATTCCATTCCTCTTTCATTTCTGTTTACTTCGTTTTCCCCGACTTTTTGTAATGGTCCCCCATTTTGGCCCCCCCCGTGACGCCCATGCCCCCTGCCCCCTCCAAATCTCCGCCTTTCTGAGCGGATAGCTTGCCCCCTTCCATTGAGGTAGTTGCAATGGAGAGACACATGGTGCATGCATGCTCCTTGTTTTTAGAAGCACTAAAAACACATAAATGAAATCCCTTAGTTGCAAACAGCTCCACATTAACGCTGTGAACCCATCGGTGACTAAAACGATAGGATTTCTCTGGTCATTCCGACAAGACACCGTTAATTTGTCAGACTAACCAGCTGACATGTTCTCTAAACTTTATCATCTTGGCAAGACAACACATTTTCGGTTGGACGAGCTGTCTTGTCAAGATGCCTACTGAAACGCATTTCTCATCGGTAACAAGTGTACGTCAGTTTAATTACTTCCCAGTCATAGCCATCTTTAAAAATCCTTGATGATGATGGGCCTACCTATTAATACCCCACAGAAGATAAAATGCAAACTGGAAATTTTATACACTTCTGTGGCCGACTGGCCGAGTTGTATCGCGACGCCTGCGCGAAGGTTGTTGGTTTGAGTCTACCGAGATTGCTATATTTCATTATATGCAAACTGCTGAGGAAAGTTGTCTGGAGTGGCGCGCGTCTGTTACTCAAGTTAAAATTATGTGCTGTAGCGGCCTGGGTTGGAACAGCGGAAAGAAGCTGTGTTTTGAGCATTTCTTGCAAGGGCTTTCCCATACAGTGCTTCTTAAATTGTGTCTTCGAAGATTAAAAACTTTTGTGTAAGATCTCACACGTACATAAACGTACACGTTCACGTCGCATATTCTCTAATGGGCAAAATGCTTTTAAAATAAATTCATTTCCCGAATCTCATAAAAAAACTCGTTACTTTGTTGTTTTCTTAGTCAACTCGTGAAAATTTTCATAGAATCACGTCAACCTGACTGTGTTTGGCTTCTCAAAGTAATCATCGTGTTGAGTCAAATTTTGCCCTCAAGACACTATTTCGAGTCGCAAAGCTAAAAAGCTTCAAGATCTCAGCCGACACAATTAAACCGGCAGACATATTACAGTTCGATTTACTTAAATCAAACGGTAGCGGTGGCCAGCGGATGTTGCCAGATTTTTTTATTACTTAACTGTCGACCAGGACAAACTTCAACGGTAATTCGGCCTTAATCCTGGGATATTAGAGACGGGACCGCTCGAAGCTGTGTGTCACGCCTGGCCCAGGGGACAAGCAACCAAAGGGGCAAAATGCTAGAATGATGAAAAGGGGCATAATAAAAACGATCCCAAGATCTTCTCAAATATCGATACCAGATAATGTCCTTTGACTCCTCATCTCTCCTCCCTAATCACAGCAATCGAGTATTCGGTTTCGAAAGAAAAACAGTAAACACTTTTCTCATGATACTTGTGTGGTATAGATCCCCCTCTTTCAGCCGTGATTCGGGTATATATATCATTCCTTGTTAAATAAGACTCTTTTTGCTCATAATGAAAATGCCAGGCTGGTCCGTGTGTAGGAAGGAGTGAGGTTAGGAACGTTGAGGGAAATCAGCGGACGAAATGATGCATCTTCTTGCCCAGAATCCTTGATATCGATGCCAGGACTTGACGTATCCTAACGATACATTCGTCCGCGGCTATCGTCTTCTCATATTCTCTGAATTGTTCAGTCCTCGTTACGACTTTTGGTTGGTGCGAAAAAAAAATCACCACACACACAAATAAAATAAAAACGGAGATAACGACATAGAACTAAAAACAGGGCCATTGTAACTATTAAATACTAATTGTGTTCAGCTCAACCAGAATGAGAAAATCGTCGAGATTTCGGAGATGTTGAAGCCCACATTTCAGTCAGAGTTAACTGTTGGCAGGTGATGCCGTTCCCGTGTACGAAGAGTTTTTCTCTTAAAGAGTATAAATTATACAACAAAGACTGTTTTCCCCATTCTGAATAAACAGTAGATCATGTTCATTGACAAATTTGAAAAAAAAGTTCCGTTGAAATAGGAAGAACAGCTGTCCTTGCTGCATCTCCTAAAGTTGTCAGTAAGTTACACACAATGAAGACCTTTCACGTTGAGTCTTTTTTTTGGGGGGGGGCGGGGTTCAGAGCTTACTTGTTTGCCTTGTGTGAGCACCTCCACGGGTGGTGTGAGCAATAAACGGTTCTCTCGGCATGTACGCGTCTGCGTGGGGCGCCGGGCCAGACTGCACGATTTCTACACTTCTCGCCGTGTCCGAGAGACGTGCGCCATGCTCTCAGCGCCGAGAGCATCCCGAATCACTATACCAAGTGAACGAATACACGTAATGGTTTCATCTTTCAATTCCTCGCTTGAAGCGCAGACGTTAAAATCAGGAGTGTTTTCTCTCGCTGTGCGGGTCTGCTGTCCAAGTCTGTAAATTTTAATTCAATGTAATTTTAATTTTTTTTGGGGGGGGGCCGAGGGGAGATTCAATTTGTGCCAAGTTCATTCATCATTGTTCCTTTAAATAGCTGTGATTCGGACCCTTCAATTTCTCAGGATTTCAAGGAGTTCTCGGATTATTAAAATGGTTATAATTATTTTTCTTTCATGAGGGTCTTGTTGTTAAGGCGGTAACTGTGAACAAAACCTATCAGTTTGTTCAAAAGAGCACTTCATCACTACCGCAAACAACTGCTCAAAAGGACACCAACTGTTGTTGTGACTGTTCTTTTTAAACCGTACAGATAAACAACCGATCTATCACAAAAAATTCGAAAAGAAGAGACAAATGGCTCGGGGCTACCCGGTGTGTTTTCATTCGGATATTATAAACAAATGATATAATGATGCTAAGCGAGACAGTCCGGCAGCCCGAGATAATAATTTGTACTAACTTGTCATATCCATTCTGCTCCGCCAGCACAAACCAATCAAGCAGAATGGTTTAACAAAGATCACATGAAAAGAGAGACACAGAGAGAGAGAGAGAGAGAGCAAAAAAAAAATGTAATCAGCATCAGTTGTGGTAGTTTGACGGAGTCTCCTGTTGATTCCAGCAACATCTTCCTCGCCATCACAATCATGATCGACGTCATCATCGTCGTTCAATTGGTGTTTTCTCCAGCCCAGCAGACCCGCAGCCAGTTGATGCATGGGTGGTGCATGCGGGCGGCGCGCGGGCGGGTGTAATCCCGTGCATGAGCGCTCACATTCAGAGCCAATCGCATTTAGGGGGGAAAAAAATGACTGATGTTAATTAAACCGTATAGTCGCCGGGACAAGTTCGCGAGGGAGGAGAAAAAAGGGACAGCGAACATCAAAGGCAGAATCGTGAGCAGCGAAGCGTGTCGACGTTGGCATCATCTACGGTTTGTTTAATTAAAGTAATTTCCTAATGGGGGCAGCGAGGAAGTGAGAGAGAAGCTAACGACAACCTGTTGAATTATTTCTCGAATCTCAATTCAAGCATTTTCAGGCAACCAGAGACATAAGGGGAAACTGCCTATTTACATAAATTTGGTTTTCGCTGAGTTTCCAGTAATGGCAGAAAAAATGGAAACGAGACGTTGGCGCTGCAATAATGGCGGCAGCCCACTCTGAATATTTGAAGAGCTGCTCTGTCGGTGCAACTTGGTGCGAGACGGGGGGGTGGACAACCCGCGCCTGATCAGTCATGCTCGACGGGGGAGGGGGTCGTGTTTTGTGCATGGTGCAGATGCGACGGGTTACGGGAGGATATTCGCAACCAACCGTGGACAGCCTTCTTTACGGGATTTACTGGTAGATTGCTGAACTGCCATCGCGATGGTGAATAAGGCCAACTTATCCACAATCTTATTGTAATTTGCATACTGTAAAAATGTGCCCACTTGTTTTCATCCAATTCCAGAAAGGAATCTGCCAGCAGATACAGATATTCCATTTTGTCCTCTCAATTTCACCTTGAAATCCACAAATACTAGACAGTGCGGTGGATAA